TTTTTAAGTATTTTTTTAATTTTAGGGAGAGAGATAGAAACATCATCGATTGGCTGCCTCCTGCACGCCCTCTACTGTGGATCGAGCCCACAATTCAGGCATATGCCCTAACTGAGAATCGAACTGGTGACCTCTTGATTCCTGGGTCAATGCTCAACTGCTGAGCCACACTGGCTAGGCCCAAGCTTTATATTGAGCATTAGAAACAAAAATAAATAAATAAAGCCATTGGTACAAACATATAGGTTTGTTATTATAATGCAAATATTTATTAATCATCTTTTACACTCAATTATCTATACCAGGGCAGGAAGATGGAGGCTGGTGAACAAAAAGTGAATCTGGCATGGTCACATTCTTAAGGAGCTTTTACCTTACGTGGGAGATGAGGCCCAGACACCCCCAGTGCTCCTGTGCTCATGGCATGTGGTCTGCCCTCTCTTTTTCTTTTTTTTTTCTTTTTTGTTTTGTTGTTTTTTTATTGTTAATCCTCACTCAAGGATATTTCTTTCATTGATTTTTTAGAAAGAATGGAAGGGAGAGGGAGAGACAGACAAACATCGATGTGAGAGAAACACTTCAATTGGTTGCCTCCTGTACATACCCTGACAAGCACTGTAGACTGAGCCTGCAACCAAAGTGCCCTTGAATGGAATGAAACCTGCAACCCTTCAGTCCCCAGGCCAATGCTCTAACCACCTAGCAAAACCAGCCAGGGCTGCTTCCCTGTGTTTCAAAGTGACAAGCACAGCACTACTCAAATAAAGGAGGTGTCTCATCCTGTCTAACAAACCACACATTTTGATTGGTAATGAGTGGAGAAAGAAAAGACAAATTCTAGGATTTACTAATAAGAAACTGAGAAATCTTCTTATTTAGCTTGAAAGGACATTTTCATTGTACCGTTGAAAATGGTATGTGCTGCAAGAGAGATACAGACCGATAAAGTATTCCTGGGATTTAGAGAATGAAAATTCTACGATTTTACAGAAAAACTTTCCAACATTGCCCAGTTTCAATTTTCACTGTTTAACACAGTAACTGACCCCTTTCTTCTGTTCTCCCCACTCAGGTTATCTTGTTCCTGATCATGTTGTTTATGCGCAAACGCATTGCTCTCACCATCGCCTTGTTCCACGTGGCAGGCAAGGTCTTCATTCACTTGCCACTGCTAGTCTTCCAACCCTTTTGGACTTTCTTTGCTTTGGTCCTGTTTTGGGCGTATTGGATCATGACACTTCTTTTTCTTGGCACTACTGGTAAGAAGACATGTTGCTTCTTTCTCTTAGGGATGAATCTGATTCACATTAACGTATTTAAAGCATCAAAGAGATATAAGTCTTCAGATATTAAGTTCTAATAGCCACCGGAACTAGCAGGGGCTATGGTTCTTCAGTAACCCATTTTCTAATCATGAGCTTTATCATCCTAGCCAAGTGGGTGTCAACCAGATAAGGCCTGAAATTGCATCCTGGTTTGAGATGGTCATGGGTTTGCAGTAAACTCCTCTAGTCCCTCAGACATTTGGATCCATTCTAAGATGAAAGAATGAATGTAGTGTCACTTTGGAATTGCCTTAAAACTCACAGCCAAAGCTCAACTTGCTTCCTTGGGATTTTCTATTTGGAAATGACGAGAACCTAGCTAGAGCTCCTAGTGATGATTCAGTTCATAGACTCTCAGATTTGCTTGTAGCCATGCTTTACATCAAAGGCTACATCTAAATGTGAGAAGTATAAGGTTAGTACATTTGTATGTAATTTCTCTGACTTTTCAGTACATATTCTGTTTTCAATTGAATAGAATATGAATTTCTGTACCTTGCTAAGAATATAGGTCTGTAATTATTAGACAAGAAATAGCTTTGGAAAACAGAACAAATTATATATATATATAGGGGAGGGACCAAGGGCAGTTGGCCAGCTGGCCCCACCCCTGACCAGGGTGAGAGGGCCAATAAGGGACAGGGCCGGCTAGGGGGAGAAGCCGCAGGCTGTTGGCAGCTGGCCCCATGCTCAATCAGGATGTTAGGGGCCAGTCAGAGGATGCTGATTGGGGCCCAGATCAGGCTGGTTGGCTGCTACACTGCACATTGTAGCCACCAGTCTTTCCAGTCATTCTGGTTGTTCCGGTTATTCCATCATTCCAGTCACTGAGCATATATATATATGTGTGTATTGGCATATATTTATATGTGTATCTATCAGATTTAGATAGACATATTAGATTTAGATATATAGATATAGATATACACACACACACACACATATATATATCTATATATAGATATAGATTTATATATAGATATAGATATATCATGGCTTTGGGGAAAACAAAATGCTTAACTGGGTAATATTTGGCTTCACAACTTTTCAAGTGATAATTATATTTGTCCCTTTCTGAAATAGCACTGTGAATATAAGTTTGTGGTTTGAGTGTAGGGATCTGTTCTTGGAAAGTAAATCAATCTCTTAAATTAAGTAGTCATATTTGTGGTTTCAGCTTTATGTGACTCTTCTTTCCTTCCTCGCTTTTTCCCAGGCAGCGCTGTGAAGAATGACCGAGGCTTTGTGGAGTTCAAGGTCTCTGGGCCTCTGCAGTACATGTGGTGGTACCATGTGGTGGGCCTGATTTGGATCAGTGAATTCATTCTGGCCTGTCAGCAGATGACTGTGGCTGGAGCAGTGGTGACATACTATTTTACTAGGTGAGAATTCATACGTGTCCAACAGCTTAAGATCAGCTAAGCAATTGTGCCTGTGCCTGAAGGGAATGGAACTGAAGCTTGTCAGATTGTCATTTCTTTAAGAAGTAATTGGAAGTGAACATGACAAAATGTGATAGTTGATCGTTCTGAGAGGTAGGAAAACGAGAGGTTGCTATTTTATTCTTTGCACTTTTCTAAAACTTTCTTAAAAATGAATCAGAACTGCAGGCCCTGAATAACAGAAATTATATTTAACAGAAGAATGAACCTTGTGGTAGTGCCTTATGTACTTTGGCTTTATATGAAAGTCCATCAAAGGAAAACAAGCTTCTTTAATTTGTTTGGATCAGAGCAATAGTGTGGCTCCCTTTCCTGACTGCAGAGCTGAATACCCACTATAGGCCTGTTGTTTCTGTTGTAATGAGGTACCAGGTTCAGGTTGAGCATCTTTTTAAGTTCCATTTTCTGATTGTAAAATTAACATCATAAATATTTACTACCAAGAGCTTTCAAAGCACAGTTAAATATAACTTAAAATATTAGAGCTTATGAAACTACTGTAGAGAAATGACACATTAATTTTATACGGTACATGTGTTTGTATTAGTTATACTATATTACTTTGACATTTTTGTCGTAAACCTCCAATAAGAAAAATGAACCCGTTTTTCACTCCAAACATTCCTGTGTTTCCCTCCTGGCCTAGGCTCTGTTTTAATTGTCGTTTTGGTCATTTTAAAAATAGGGACAAGAGGAATTTGCCATTTACACCTATTTTGGCATCAGTGAATCGCCTTGTCCGTTACCACCTTGGTACTGTGGCCAAAGGATCTTTCATCATCACATTAGTCAAGATTCCACGAATGATCCTTATGTACATTCACAGTCAGCTGAAGGGAAAGGTAAGGGGGAAATATGTTTTTGGACTTTCCGTGGGCTCATTCCAGACCTCACTTCTGCACCCAATGACGTCATATCCAAAGCTGCAATTGTTTTCTTCATATTCCTGACAAAGTGGAACCCAGCCCTTCCTCCCTCGCCCTCATCCCCCTTGCGCTCTATATGCTCAAGCAAAATCCATCTCAGCACTGGTTTCCAAAAATGTCCCTTCCTCTGTGTCGATTCAACACCTTCCTCCTTAGGACCTCTTACCTCTCCTCGACAGGGTAAATAACATGCCTGTGAACATGGCTTAGCTCATTGACACCTCTTCCAAGAAACCTTCCCTGATTTCTCCCATCTCGCAAATGATGTCTCTCTCTGTTATCCATTCTCATAGCACTAGTACCTATGTCAGATTCTGATTCTAATCTTTTTGTGTATTTGGCATTTTTTTTCCTCCTTCTAGATTGTAAATTCCTTGCTGGTCTTCTATACCTCACTATATCTCATATGCAATAGGTACTAAATAAATGTTGACCTGATTAAAAATAATTCAATCAGTACATTTTAAGGGAAGAGGTGGGTGGGTATGGAAGCTTGGAAACATAGTTTTTGCTTTTAATATTGTTTATTTTTCTAACATTAGGAGTATTCTATATGATGGTGTAATTCTTTGAGTTTTCAACAATTATTTCAACTTTTGCTCCTTTCCAGGAAAATGCCTGTGCTCGATGTGTGTTGAAATCTTGCATTTGTTGCCTTTGGTGTCTTGAAAAGTGCCTCAATTATTTAAATCAGGTAAAATATTTTAAAAATAATTCTCTAAGATTCACTTTCAAAGATAGGTTTGTAGTTTCTTCTTCCAAGATAAAAGGATTGAGCTTACTTGAAAGGTGTTGGTTTTCTCATGGTGTTGTACATTGTGCCTTGATCAAGTATCTCTATTTCAATCATATTCTTTTTAAAAGTAGCACATGCACTTACCAAAGCTCATTATTAATTAATTGTAATACATGGATAAAATATTAGGGTTCCTATCTCGGGAAAGACATTTATTTCTTATGCCTTAATTCGTATCCTTTTATCTTTGATTTTTCCTAAGAATTTTTCTATTCTAGCCATGGTTCTTCAATTTTAAAAAACAACAAAACTCTGAGTGGGCCAGAGCAAATAAGTCTTTAGGACACACAATGTCAGTTTTCATGGGCCACCAGTTTGCTGCCTCTGCTTTAAAGAGTTAAGGGGATCATAGTAAAGAAGAGCATCAATATGGAGGAAGAGTAGGCCAGAGTCGTTTTGCAGCACAATAGGAGATTCCTAATCTTAAACCATGCTCCACTGCCACACCGCACAGGGAAATACAGTCAGTTGGCTTCAAAAAAGAGCTTTATATATTTTCAATGACCCACTTAGTATTTGCAGCATAGGTGTTAGTTTTACAAATAAACAGTGAACAGTGAGCCGCTCTTTGTTTTTGTAGGTGCTTATCTTAATGGGACATGAAGGTGATTATATATCTAATCTAACAGGTAGGACTCACTTTATGTAGAGAGATTGTTACAACCAGGATCTGTTTCTCTTGGGCATCGGATTGCGCAGGCCTTGGTTTATCTGGCACTGTGTGAAGGTAGTACATTTCACACTGGAGAGCATCTGCTCTGGCTGATAAGCTCTTTGGATTATAAAGCTGTTCTCTATAGGTATGAGTGGAAGTTAAAAATATTTTTTTGCACACCACTAGCTGATACTATAGTAAGCACTTTATGTATATTACCACTTTCCATAACTCCATAAGGAAGGCTCATTTCCCCTGTTTTTTTTTATGACAAAATTGAGACTGGGCGTCTCATGACAAATAATCGCATAAGCTAGAGGTGGAGGAAGTTTTCAAATCTAAGTTCACCCAGCTCTTCCCTTAATTTTTACACTGCTTCTTGTATAAATATACACACGTTTTGTGCAACATAAAGAACACTAAGTTATAGTTTATTATAGAGAATAAGTAAACATCTCAAATTTTCATGAATCGTGCTGTAAGCTAAGACAAGTGGTTTTAAAGCCAATCTCTTTTAACTAATACTTGCAACATCAGCTTAATTCTGATGACCCCTAAAAACTATAAAAACTTACAACCAAACTGAATGAAATCTATGGTTTAAGTTTGACTTTGTGCCCCTTTCACCCCTCACTAGAAGTAAGAAAGGGATCATTGTAATTGCCTTTTCCCTTATTTCATTGATAATAATCCGTACATAGAGGTGCACACATCCTATTTACTTTTTCCTGCCATTGCTGACTAGCTTGCCCTTATCACGTGAGTTACTATGTAAGATTTTAAACTTTTAAGAGAATTTCTAGATAATTAAGTGAAGAAAGGAAAGAAGGTGTGAGACTGTGGAAGCTGAGCTCTGGGACAGATGGCCACACAGGTCTGAGTTACCTGCATGGTGACCTCTGTCCTTTCATATTCCTTCCACCTGGTCACTACTTTCACTATATCATGTCACACAGAAATGTGACCAATGACCAAGTGGGCTAGTAGGCATCCTTGTATCTCATTTTTAAAAAAATATATTTTATTGATTTTTTACAAAGAGGAAGGGAGAGGGACAGAGAGTTAGAAACATCGATGAGAGAGAAACATCCATCAGCTGCCTCCTGCACACCTCACACTGGGGATGTGCCCGCAACCAAGGTATATGCCCTTGACCAGAACCGAACCTGCGAAGTTTCAGTCAGTAGGCCGAAGCTCTATCCACTGAGCCAAACTGGTTTCAGCAAGTAGGCATCCTTGTAAAAAGATCCCTGGAGGGTGATCAACTTTTGGCTTGCGCTGGGAGTTCATTAGTTGGAGTCCTCTGTCCTGCCTGAGCTGAGGTTGGGCAGGAGCGAAATGTTAAATCATTGATGCCCCTCTGGGGGGGTTAGCCCAGATAGGAAGGCTGTCAGGGGAAGCTGCAAAGGACTCTGGATTTCTTGAGAGCCATCACACGAATCCCTTGAGACTAGGAAGTACAGAAGCAGAGGGAAATGCTATTGACCTGCTGTGATCGGTAGCACATTTTTCTTCTTAAAGAGATCATCTCGACTTGTATGGATCACATGCAGCTCATCTAACTGCCTCACGTGTAGGAGGGAAATCGTAAAACACCCCCTCAGTTTTCAGTTAGGTTGCATGCACAGATCTACAGGAATATTTCTAGGAAATGTCTATGAGCCCATCCAACCCTGGAACTGAGAAGTAAAGAAATGAAATCACTGCCTCCTTCCATGTCTACAAATAAAAAGGCCTTCTGCTCCAAATAAAACTAGATGGAATAGGTGGGGCAGCGTCCAGAGAGAAGAAAGAAGAAGCAGAGGCGGAATAATAATAGTTCTCAAGTAAAGTGACTCTCCAGAACACTAATGAGGGCAACGAAAGCTTTTATAGTTTACGTTGGAGGTGTTGGGCCTGCTCCTGGAGGCAGCTGGTTGGTGATGACAGGAGAGAAATTGCAGGTGGTGGCTCCTCTCTTCTGTTTCTTTTCAAGGAAAGCCGTGCTCTGACTGCAGCAGATAGAACTGCATAATTAAGAGAGTTGTCTGACCTTGAGGGGGTGGGATTTAAGACACGACGGAGTTGGTTTAAATGGATTGTTCAGTGACCTTGATTCTTGACATTATAATGCTTTTTATACTTCAGAAAGCATCTCATCATCTATATATTATATTTAATACGACATAGGGGATTTTCCTCCAAAAAACCATTAAGTACAATTGACCTCACATATCTGTGTGTCCCATATCCAAAGGTTTCACATCTGCATATTTAACCAGCCATGGATGGAACACATGGGGGGGAAGGGTGCTATGGTGTTGCTGACCTGTACTATTGTGGTTAGTCCTGTGATGGTTGCATCTGTACTGAACATGTGCAGTCTTTTTTCCCTCCTTGTCATTATTTCCTAAACAATACAGTAAAACAACTCTTTGCATAGTATTTACATTGTATTCAGTATTATAAGAAATCTAGATATGATTTAAAGTATATAGGAGGATGTGTGCGTAGGCTATATGCAAATACTAAGGGACTTGAGCCTGGTCAGAATTTGGTGTCATGGGCGTCCTGGAACCAAAACCCCCACGGATACCGAGGGACGACTGTAACTGGTTCATTGGTCTCTTCCTCTTGTCTTACAATAAGGGGATTAAACATTTTTGGTGTCGTGGGCCATATAGTCTCTCACAGTTGCTCAGTTCTGCCATGGTAGCATGAAAACAGCCATAATCAACATGTGAACAAATGAGCAAGGCTATTTTTCAATAAAACTTTATTTACAAAGTAGGCAGCAGGCAAGAGCTGGCCCATACACAATCGTTATGGACCCCTGCTTTAGAATAAAGTGCTAAGTGGGTGTGCTTTTTTAAGGAGGACATAGGGAACTGAGAGCTAGTTTGGGGTTTTTTGAGAATTGTTCGGACGAAAGCAGTTCTCCATGGTTTTTCAGCAGAGTTACTATTGCACGGGATCAAACGTATGGTTATTTTGATGTCATGGAGGCATTTAGCAGAATGTTTCAAAGGGAGCTTTGTAAAAATGAAGAAATGTGGGCCACTGCAGTTAGGTAGTTAACTCTTTGGTGCCTGCAGTCTCTTAACTGATAAGAAAAACAGTGAGATAGCAATAGAAGAGAGTAAGCAGCAAATGGAGCTAAGAAAAACTTAATGGAATGATTTCTTTAACATACTGTATATATTAGCTTTTGAGATAAAATGACCTGCAAACATAATATGGTCATATATTCTGAGAAGCAATTACCCCATTCTGTGTAATGGAATTTCATATGTTAAAATCATACTGTGTTTCTCAAAAAAGCAGGTAATTTCCTACTGCTCCATTTCTGAAAAAAGTGTCTGAACCTCAAGTAGCCTCTACACTGTCCACTATTTTTTCCTTGGCCCTCAAATGCTCTGCATTTTTAATCAGTGAATTTAATCATATAATGGCAAATTAAATTTTTGATGAGTCAAACCTCATCTCCATACCATGTTCCTACTAACTAACAAGCATTCAGTTGGAACATTCAGAAATTAAAGACTGTCTTTCTCTAGCTCAGTGTTGAAACTTTATAGACAGCACTGTGTAGAGCAAGTATGTCAAACTCAAAGACTAACATGGGCCAAATAAACGAGGCATGTGGCCCAGGGGCCACAAGTTTGACACGCTTAGTGTAGAATCAGCCCTTCCTGCCCAGCCGTCGCCTGGCCACTTGAACATTTGGGACCCACCAGTGATTTCTTGAGTTGGCACTAAACCAACAGTTCCTCAGGACCAAACATTTTTGTCACAAAATTCATAGACTTTCCTAAGGCTCAGACATATGTGACATTCTAGTACTTATTCACATTTCCCAGAAAATGTCAATGCTCTTCTCAAATGTAATGTAAAAGAGAAGGGAGGAAATCAGTCTGTGACTAGTGGGTCACAGAGGACACGGGGCAGCAGATGCAGGTATAATTGAATAAAAGTATGTCATCTGGGACTCAGTGCTACAAGGGACAGAAAGCCAGCTCAGTCTGACCTAAAAAAAGAGAGAGAGTGAGAAAGGGGGAGGGAGTGGCAGGAGAGGGTAGAGATTCTTAACAATGTATGAGCTTCTGCAACGGAAAAGCCCAGAAATCTGACTAGTTCCTAATGATGTCAAAAATTGTCACCAAGTGCAGGGATCTGATTTCTCTCTGCTCTGACTTGCGTGGTGTTCGCCTCACCCTAAGTTTCACACTGTGACCTCCAGCAGCTCTAGGCTCTTTCCATTCTGTTAACAAAACATCCATGGCAGCCCTAACCGGTTTGGCTCAGTGGATGGAGCATCGGCCTGCGGACTGGAGGATCCCAGGTTCGATTCCGATCAAGGGTATGTACCTTGGTTGCAGGCACATCCCCACTGGGAAGGTGTGCAGGAGGCGGCTGATCAATGTTTCTCTCTCATCAATGTTTCCAACTCTCTATCCTCCCTTCCTCTCTGTAAAAGAAATCAATGAAATATATATATTTTTAAAAATCCATGGCAATTCGTACCCTCAGAGCTCCTCATCCAGGAAAAGGAGAGAGCTGCTCTGTCAGGGTCACCTATGGATGAAGAAGGAAACTTCTTTCTCCCAGAAGCCACAGGGGAGTGTCCTTTACATCCAGGGACCCTGGTTCATTTATATGCCAGTTTCTGAACCCATCCTTGTCCATCGCTACCACTGAAGGTGGTGTCAGTTCCACTCAGATGTTAAGACAGTGGAGAAGGGCTGTTCCCTCAAATGAGAGTTCAGACCCCCCCTTCCAGATTGGATGGGGTATAAAATAGTGGGCAGCAAACCACAATCGCTATAAGAGCTGTGAGAAGTGACAGCAGAGAAGAAAGCATCAAGGAGGAGGTGGTAGGCACTCCAGATTAAACAGCACCGCAATCTGACGCCTTCACAATTTGTGTAGCTTCCACAACATCACTGAAATGGTACTAATGCATCATGGGTAATTCCCAGTGACAGACCTGAGGCATCTAGGCAAGGTTAAATTCTGTTTGATTTACTCAGACAAGGGAGAAGTTCCTGGACATGGGAAAGGTAGTCTGTGTTTTCATAAATATCAGTGTTTTCAAAGGACCAAAACTAAATCTACTGAAAAGTTCTTTTTACCATATCAGACTTTTTTTTTTTTTTTTAATATCTCATATTTTCTTGTGCTTCAGAATCTTACTCTTGTACCTCACCAAAGCCGTGGGTTTAATAGTGAAATATTGTGACAAGCTATGTTTAATTACATCTTAACAAAGTAGGGTTATATTCATTGATGAGAATATTGTTTTTGCCTCTGCCCAGAATGCATACACAGCCACCGCTATCAACAGCACCAACTTCTGCACCTCAGCGAAAGACGCCTTTGTCATTCTCGTGGAGAATGCTTTGCGAGTGGCTGCCATCAACACAGTCGGGGATTTCATGTTATTCCTAGGCAAGGTAAGACCAAGTATATTACCTGAGATGTACAGTTAATTTTTTAATTTTATAAAACATCTGGCCCACCAAAAAAAAAAAAAAAATAGCAAGTAACTTAATATATAGCAAGCATGTATAAACTCCTTAATATGTGCTAGGCAGCTTTCTAAGTACTTTATATATGTATGTGCTCATTTGATCCTCACAACAGATTTGTAAAGAAAGATCCATTGTGATTATCATTTTATAGGTGGGGAAACTGAGGCTCGGGGTGATTAAGTGTAACTTGTATATGTTTTTCCTTACATGTTTTGAAGTAGTATTAAGTAACAGTCTGTGTAGTGGTTAGGGTTACTGCATCTGGAGCTTGACTGCCTGGATTTAAATCCTGCCTCTTGCCAAAACCGGTTTGGCTCAATAGATAGAGTGTCGGCCTGCGGACTGAAAGGTCCTGGGTTCGATTCCGGTCAAGGGCATGTACCTTGTGCAAGAGGCAGCTGGTCGATGTTTCTCTCTCATCGATGTTTCTAACTCTCTATCTCTCTCTCCCTTTCTCTCTGTTAAAAATCAATAAAAAAATATATTTTTTTTTAAAAAGAGTTAGCCACAAAGATGGAGCTTGTGTGTGTGTGTGTGTGTGTGTGTGTGTGTGTGTGTGTGTGTGTGTTGGGGGGTTGTTTTACAAATCTTGGACAGACCCAGATTTGCTCCCTAAAGTCATCTGATAGAAGGATCACTTTACAGCTTGACCAGTATGTTACCCAATGCATTATAACTCCCGGTTAAGTTCATGGTGAATGAGAGACACTTTGTTGTTGATAAATAGTAAAGAAGAGATAAAAGAAGAATTCTTGGTCTGACTGTCCTCAGTACTAGACAAAGAAAGGCTGAGGTAGTTCTGGAGGACTCTTCCTTTGTTGTTTAAGGCTTGATGTGAAGGCGGGTAAAGGGCAAGAGTCTGAGATTCAAAATAACCTATTCCTGCTTTGTATCAGTATCCACATATTTTCAGAGTTTTTACCTAGAAAGAGCCCTGAAGTTGGCATCATAAGACCATTATTTGAGTGGTATCTGTTGACCTTGGGTAGGTTGGCTAGCATGCTTCCCAGTCTATAATATGAGATAATAATGTTTTCCATCAACCATTCATAGGGTTAATGAACAACTGAGCCCTAACTGGTTTGACTCAGTGGATAAAGTGTCAGCCTTCAGACTCAAGGGTTCCAGGTTCGATTCTGGTCAAGGGCATGTACCTTAGCTGAGGGCACATATCCAGTAGGGGGTGTGCAGGAGGCAGCTGATCGATGTTTCTCTCTCATTGACGTTTCTAACTCTGTCCCTCTCCCTTCCTCTCTGTAAAAAGTCAATAAGATATATATTTTTAAAAAACACAACTATAATAAAATGTAAAGTGTTGACTATGAGGTAGTGAGGCTTCAGAGTAGGTGGTTCTTGACAAGAATCAAATTGGTTATTTCCTTTATTCTCATGAATGTTTTTAGCAACCCTTTTCTCACAGATAGTCCAAATTTAAACTTCATGGCAAATTATATTAAATTTGCCCCATATTCTATTTGAAATAATGAAAAGACTCTTAGTGATGTTTATTACAGGATTATTTATATCTGAAAACAATATACGTGTCCAACTGTAGGAGAATGGTTAAATAAATGTTATTTTGTTGTTGTTAAATAAATTTTAAGTCACCCATAAAATGAAATTATGTAGCTGAATAAGTATTTATGAAACATTTATAATGCTACTATAAATATTAAGGAAGAGTTTTTAATGATTTGTTTATACAGTACTACTTCATAAATGTAAAAATGCTTAGGAAAAAATCTGTAGCAGTACCCTGAAATGTTGGTAATTTTCTTTTTCTGAGTGCTAAGAACATGCATAATTTTTCCCCCTAAAAAAGATGTACATTGATCTCAAGAATTGCCACAGGTGCCAAATAAGGGAAAACAAGCATGATGTTTGGAAAACTTGATTATTTTTAATGTCAACAAGGATGATTTTTTAAAATTTGTATTATGTGATCTACATGTATAACTCTGTGTGTATGTGGTACCTATGGGTTATACTTTTCTAAATTTGGGATGGAAAGGACTCATGCTGACCATCAGATATAAGTGGCAGAGAAACTTTTGCATCTGCCAACGATGAAGAAATAGTGGTTTCTACTGCAGGGAGTTACATGTGGTCTTTGTTCTCTCTGCCTCAGGTGCTGATAGTCTGCAGCACGGGCTTGGCTGGGATTATGCTGCTCAACTACCAGCAAGATTACACAGTCTGGGTGCTGCCTCTCATCATCGTCTGCCTCTTTGCTTTCCTAGTCGCTCATTGCTTCCTGTCCATTTATGAAATGGTAGTGGATGTGTTATTCTTGTGTTTTGCCATTGATACAAAATACAATGATGGGAGCCCTGGCAGAGAATTCTATATGGATAAAGTACTGATGGTAAGTACTTCGAATGCCCTCTACTGCTTTAGGGATGAAAAGACTGATAAAGTTAAACCCGGAACACTGGCGAATGAGGTTGGTCTTGGAGGAGTCAGGGAAGAAGACCCTCTTGGCGTGGATGAGACCATTTAAAATCCACTTACCTAGAGCAATACCCATAAATAGGCCTGAGCTCGCACTATTCCATTCTGCTGCCCCGCTCTCTGCAGTGACACAGACTTGAATTGACTTTTAAACCTGACTTTTAGCCCTGGAACTAGAATTAAAACATTGAATCATTGATAGTCATAGGTGCACTTTCCTGAGGGGTGGAGCTCAAAGACGAAACGTTTTAGTTCTCAGGTGGAAGTTAGTAACTCCTGGAATTTCTCTACCTACCACTTTCCTAAGTATTATAGCTGTCTACACCATTAAAACTCATTATCCTAAGTATGCCAGGCCAAATGAAAGGCATTTTGTAATGAATAAAGATGAACAGACCCATGACTGGTAGATTGAAATCTGAACCTTTTCACAGGTACATTCAGATTCTTTATAGATGTATAGCCTCTGCAGCTTCCCTATGTTAGAACCTCATTGAAACCTTTTTTAAATTTTAAATTATGTTAAATGATTTAAATACTAGATACTATAAAATTAAAGGTGCTTTTACTTTTTTTTTTTTCATTTTCACTTGAGAATATATTTATTGATGTTTAGAGAGAAGAAAGATGAGTGAGAAACATCAATTGGTTGCCTCCACCCACCCCCAACTGGGAATCGAACACACATTCTAGGCATGTGCCCTGACCAGGAATCAAACCCACAACCTTTTGGTATATGGAACAACACCCAACGAACTGAGCCATCTAGCCAGGGCTTAACGATGGTTTTTAATAATACCATCTTACTATTAAGTTATAAAATATTCCTATCTTAAGAGTAGATAATATTAAAGACTATCTCAATATTAGATCTTGAAAATAACTAGTCATCTTCCAGGAGAATGAATTTAAATTAAATGTATTCATTTAAAATAAATTGTTAATAAACAAACTAGATTTTTTTTTTTAATTGCAAGATTATCAAATGAGTTAACTCACCTATTTGGTACTGATTATCTCTTTTACCGAGCACATGATCAACTAAATTTTGGACATTTTCAAAGTGGAATTTGGCCCATGATCATTGCATCTCTTTTGTGATTATAGCATCTAGGAGGAGCGTTTATTTTTTGTTTTTCAGCCACTGATCAAAGCAGAACAAAAAATCCAGTTTTTCTCCTTTTAGTTTTCTCTGAAAGATTGAGGAGGGTATTAGGAAGTGCTTTGACAGGAGAGGAGCATTTTATTGGGCACCAATCCCATCTCGGATACTCTGACCAAAGGTGCTAGTGGTTGCCCCGTTTTCCTGCTTCATGGAGTAATGCCAAGTCCAGGTAGACTTTTCTTAAAGAAGCTGACTTATGATTTGGTAAAAACAGTATTCTGTGCTTACAGTATCAGTGCTTTCCTTTACCTTCTAGGCTTGTTTTAAAGAGGAGGCTTATGGAATAAAATGTTTCTGCTTTTCCATTTAACCATGATAGGGAAAAAGTAAAACAACAAGTAAAACAAATTCTCCACATGAGAAAATAGTTGTTTTTTTTTTAAGTTAAGTATCTTCTTTGGGCTGGATAGAACCAACATTACCTCTCCTAAGTGAGCTTGTCACAGTGAATGGATGGAAACACACGTTACCTACCAACAGACTGCAGTTCATCCTCACACACTCAGCCACTCTTGTGTCTGCTGCTATTATTATTGATGGCTCTTGTTTTAGGGTCTCCCTTGACCCGTAAGTTCTGAGTCGAAAATGTGAATGTTCTTTAGAATGCAAAAGGACCTAAGAGTTTCGCCATTTGGTCCCTGTTTTGCAGGAGTTTGTGGAAAACAGTAGGAAAGCAATGAAGGAAGCTGGTAAGGGAGGCGCTGCCGACGCCAGAGAGCTGAAACCGATGGTAGGTGCCGAGGAGGAGGTGGCCGCCCTCCCCGAGTTTCACTTTCACTTCCTCTCCCTCTCTGTCTTCACCGACTGCGCCTCCTCGGGGGAAGCCTTTGCTGTCTGCATCACCCAGGACTTGCTGCTCTTTCTGTTTGTGTGTCTACCCATCACTTGGATGGCAGAATTCTTGTCCCACCTGAGACTGCCTTCTGGAAAAGTAAGCTGAAAGGAACACAGCATTGTCACAAGGAAGAGCGGTCATGGCAGGGGAGGGCCTAGTCTCGTCCCTAAGGTGAAATTGCTGTTTCCATTTTTTTATTTATTTTTTTTCTTTGTAACCGTCAGTGGCTAGTTTCCATTGGACTGAACATTTGGTGGTGCACGCAAATGGACAGTTCGAGTTTTGTCATTCTGGAAGGTGATAAGAGCAGTTCCTTTCAGCTTGCTAAAATCCATACTTTCCATTTTTTTTTTTTTTTTAATATTAGTTTGTTTATGTGTCTGCCTTTTCCCCTTGGCTGACTTTTTCTTCTGTTGCCTGGATTATACTTTTCTTTGTTTCTAAAGCTATTTTTCAGTAGCAAACAAGTCTCTTTTCATCAACACCTACATTTTCTACCCAATAAGACAACCTGGTCTTCTCCAACTTCAGCTCAATTGTGAGAAGGATAAGTTACCTCTGGTCAGTGATACAGACATTCTACTGTCATTTGGGGGTTGTGGGGCGGAATGAGGGAAGGCACCTTAAAGTTAATCATTGTAAGGAGACTCCTAAGCTGAAAGATGTTCTCACCACTGCATAACAACAGATGTCTCTTAGCATATATTGGTCTAATTACTACATGTTTTACAAATGTGTTGTTCTTAAAAAGTATGTTTATTTTAAATATTATATAATTGCCTTAAGCAACTAATTTTAAATAAGCTGCCTTCTAATTGCATATAGTGTCCAAAACTGTGAGGTAAAGTCTCTCTTTTCTTCTTTATACTTTAATAAATGGGTTGATTCATAGTTTCCCAATGTAAGAACTATATAATATAAAACGAGCCCATTTAAGAATGTAAAAGTAAAGGAAATAGGTTCATTTAAGAGGAGTGGAGAAAGATTTTTTATATATATATATATATATATATATATATATATATATATATAAAATAATCACATATTCAACCTAAATAAAAGTCTTAGCAGAATATCTAGATATAAACACTCTTCTCTGAACCCCTTCCAATACCCATTTTGATATGTTCTTAATAGCTTTGATGATTATGAAGCAAAATTTCAATGTTTAGATTCCCAAGGCACAAATCACTCTGATCATAAGTAAAAGAATGTAGCTAGTGGTTATATAGCTCTTACTTTAAAGTGTGCATTAGCCAGAACTAGATTGAATGAGCAAGAGATGCCAGTCAGCAATCCCGCCAGTCAGGTGCCTTGCCTCCCTACCCCTCTCTCTGTACCACTCTTACTTCACGCAGGCCGAGGGGGAGGGCAGTGAAGATTGTGCCAGCCCTATGGAGGCATGGAAAAGTGAGGAAGATTTCTTTTTCACCACTGCTTGCTTGTCCTAATTACTCAAGAAATAAGGTTCCAAGCTTAAGACTTTAAAAGATGTAGAAAATCTTAAAATGTAAACCATCCTTCCTCCCCCCCCCCCTCTGTCTTCCGTGGTTGAAGTTTCCATTCAATTATTGTGCAGTGATAAGCATTTAAAGAAAGAAAGAAATATTTGGAGGTTTGGGACTAGCTAGATTGACCATGTAATTGATTGGCATGTAGTACTGTATTCTTGAGGGAAAGATAGAAGGGCTGTGGTAGACCAGAATGCAAGTTTACCTAAACCCCTTATTCATAATTAATAATACTAGGTTATGTGGCATTCTACCAGAAGCCAAAAAATGAGAAATGTTTTCCTATAATTGCTTTCAGTTTTAAATTAATGACACTTAACTCAAACAGTGCATTCAAATCTTCATCAGGTTTTGCTTTTATTTTGTTGTTGTTCATAAGTTTATTGCTTGCAATTAATGGCAAGTCCCCAAATACATCTTTTTACGTGCATTGTTCTTCTGTTGCTTTGGACTTTGTAGTATTTGGTCTTTAAGAATGATGGTTTAAGTGGCGAAAAAAACTCCTCAGGAGAGCAGTGTGAGATGGTGCTCACAGGGTCATTAAAGTCTTATCAGTACCTCTAATTCTTACCTCTTTTCCACGGTTTGCCTGGTAAGAGTCTACCCCATACTACCACCACCATCTTGTATGTGTCCCTAAAGAACTAGCTGAGAAATTCCCCCTGAAGTTTGGGGACTGGTACAATTGAGTATATTTCTTTGTATTGGCTTGCTTTAATTGACATTATTCCCTTAAATGAGAGTTCTCCAATGCTGGCATACCTAGTTCATCACATTTGTAGAAATGCTACTGTTTGAGTTCACTGTCTACCTCCCTCCTTATGGGTTATTTTAATTTAGGGTTTAATTTTTAGCCTATAAAATAATATTCGGAAAAAAATAAGGTTTAAAATTTTCCTTTTGATAAGAGATTACTGAACTGGATGTTTAAGTACTCCAGTTTTCCTCTTGGACTTTTTTTTTTTTTTTTTTTTGAGAGAGAGAGAGAGATTCTGCTAGTGAAGAAAACTTGGAAGGTTTGTGAGGTCTCTCTCTAAATCTTTGAAAACGGTCTTAGGAAAATTTACCAAATGTGAGAGAGAAGTTTAAGCAAGAGACATCTGGTCACCTGCAGGAAAGCATCTACAGAGGAAAGGGAGAGGGAAAAGCCCGGGCACTCAAGCAGCATAGGCAGAGGCTGCAGAGCTCCGAGGTTTCTCAGAACAGCGGCTCGGGGGAGAAGGACTCTCGGCTCCTTTTGCTTTGTTGCTTTTTTTGACCATCAGTGCATTTGTACCTTCGTTCATGACCTCCTTCTCGCGGTAACTGTCTAAGATGATGCTCTGTGTGACTTTGTTTTCTAGGCATCGGGAGCAAGTTCCGCTTGAACCCAGCCGACCCTTACGGAACCCATTGACATTCCAAACCAATATATACACATAACTGTGTGTGTGTGTGGGTGAGTGAGTGTGTGTGGGTGTGTGTATATGTATATGTGTGTGTGTATATACATATATGTATATACACACACACACACACATAATCAGCCAAAATCAGAGAAAAGGAACAGGGATTTAATACCTTTTTTTAATGCTTATTTTTGTCGAACATGTACTCCTTTCATACGGGTGGCTTTTACAAGGCAACTGCCGTCATTTAATGTTTTCAATTGTAATTGTCTTAATGGAAATGTTGAGATTCATATCTGATTAACATTTTTAATGACTTAGAGGAGATTTTAACTTTAGTTATTTAAATTAGGTAAGATGATTGTCCCGAATTCTCTGTCTAAAGTTTATTCAGGGGTGATTTCCCTGACAAGTGCATCAAAATCAAGATCTTGTTTTCCCGATCAACAAGTCCTAGTGGGACCAGACTAGGCATATGCTTCCCGTGCTTTCCGAGAAATAAGGAATCACTCCAGTTTTCCCCAATCAAAGAAGCCATGTCATTTTACTTTGAGAACCGCATAAGAGGACCCACTGTGGGAAGTTTCATAATCGCTCATGCATTTGTCAGCCAACATTCAAAAGTAACCAACTCCTCAGGTATTTGTAGTTTACCCTAATGCTTCTATAGGAGAGTAGGTAAAAAAGAAAAGGGTAGATGATCTTTCTTATGCAAACTTTTTTCTTATGGTTTGTCTTTTTTTTTTTTTTTTTTTTTTTTTTTTTTTTACTTTAACAGCATCTTTCACACATTTTGTGCCTAATTTGAGAGGAAGCTGGAGCACCCAATGAGTTAATGTAGCCTCCCAATTTCTGTGTATTGACTGGCAGAGTAAGTAATGCTGGGGGCGATAAAGACGGGAGAGAAATACTGAACACAAAGCATTGACCATTCCAGTGGTTTAGGGCTAAATAAGCATTTTATTCAAATGCTGTGTAAACTTAGAAAACAAAATGGAGGGTGCTCCTCTCCTTGGCAATTCATAAAGCATCCAGAATTCTACAATGTTTAACTGAAGAATTGGTTAATGTTCTGATCTTCAAGTGTTGAACATTTTTTTGTTTGTTTGTTTGTTTGTTTGTTTGGGGCTGGGTTATGAGGTTTTGTTTGTTGGTTTGTTTGTTTGATTTTTCTATTCCTGAAGCTTACCAGATATGAATGGCTAATATTCCATTGTTCTGCTTATTGTAATGGTGAATGCTTTAAGAAAAAAAAAAGTGTAATTTGCTAAGAATAATCCATGATCTGTTTATGCGATAACTCCTTTTTGTTACAATTTTTTTAAAAAAAGCTATTTTTGTTAATGTAAAGTAAATATTTCAGAGCAAATTTTTTAAACTTATTGCACTAAATACAGGCTCTGTACAGAAAAAGAAAAGCCTCAGCATTTTATCATTCCATGGAAGGAGAATCTTTTGAAAGAAAGCATTATCTCCTACCAGAATTAGACAGTGAATTGGACCGGTATTATGGAAATGCATACAATTAATGTCAGTAGGGATTAATAAGCAGCTGTTTGCTAATGTGCTTCCTTTCAAAGGGTTGGACCTTTAATTGCTGCAAAAGGTAAATTTTATTTTTTCCTTTAAGTATCTGTGTGTTCTTTAGCTAGGCTAAAATTTGCTAAAATGCCTTGGTTTCTTTTCAAAGCTCGTGTAATATTTCTGATTTTTCAGAATATTTGCAATAAGAATCAGAAATTTTATTTTAAAAAAAGAAAACACACAGTTAGGAGCTCATGTCTTGGCAAGATCTGGGAAAACAACATTGTGAAACTCGCTATTTTGAAAACAGTAATTCTCCAGATGTTAACATCTAACATTGACAAACTGTATCATTGTACTATTTTATATCAGCAAAAAGGGATAAATATAATTATGTAACTAACAAAAATTATCCAAATAGGTGAGAGAGCAAATCATCTAAGAAAATTCAGAATACCTTCTGTTTCGTAGC